CTGATCATCAATGATTCAATGCTTACCTTGACGATGACCATGACACCTTGTGTTCAATTGGGTCAAGTAATACCAACTTTCCTTGATTCATGAATTGTTCTGAATGTAGTGAAGGGTAGGAATGTTCGATTGTAACAATTAATGAGTTTGGTTGAGTCTTTGAAAAAATTTTCATACTCAACACAAACTTGGTATTGTTTAAATCAAGAACAAGTCATTCCTATGAACTTGTTTAAATTTACCACAAACTTGGAAACATGGTATGGCGTTTTTTGGCATTTCATCCAATATTTTGACTTGATTCGAGTCTAAACTTTTAACGTGATACAAGCCATCCTTTTTACTGGTCACGAGACCATGACCAAATTCTTGAGCATGAAAATAATCACCCTTTTCAAATTGAAAATGAAAAGTTCTTACTCGTTTCATGGAAATGACTTGATGTAATCAACATTTTCAGAAAAAAAAAACTCAAGTTCTTTTCTCTTACCACTTTACAACACATGTCTCAACAATCAAATAAACAAGGCTCTTCTTCTCACGAGAAGAAACGGTTGAAATCATCTTCAGTTGACCTTATTAAACGTAAGAAGAAGAAACATACCCCAAAGGAAGTGGAAGTCCTTAAAGCTGAACACTATAATTCTGTAAAGCAAGTTCTTCAGCTATTGAAATCCAAGAACAGTCAAACTGAGGCTTCCACTTCAGTAACCAAGAATCAAAAGAAAAGGTCATCAAAGAAGAAGACTGATTTGCCTGATGTCACTGTTCCGCACATCAGACTCATTCTGGAGAATGTCAGTGCTCGGTTGAAGGACGAAACATTGCAAGATGAGTCCGGTCAATTACCACCTCCATTGGAAATCAAAAAAGGCTTTAAAAACAAAGCAACAATTGATTGACTGTCTCACTAATTACCCACAATATGAGACCATCATGACGGTGTTGCAACAGATCCTAAATAACCTCCAGCTGAAAGTGTTTATTGAGAATCATGTTCTTTCTACCACTGAAAAAGTGACATGTAATCCTTCTCACGTTCGTTCGATTTGTTTAGGAAGTAGAAAAGAGTCCCAGCTCATTCATGTTGCCAATGCCACCACCAATCCGGCGTTGAATGCACAAAAGTCAGACTGCTTAATTGTTACCATTACAAAAGTCTTACCAGAAGCCATGAAACTGGTCACATCTCTTCCCGACGAGTTTCATGTAAACTCGTTGCATGAATGGAGTATGGAGTGTATGGTGTGGGATAAGAGTGAACCATTAATCACATCTCAAAACTTTTTCAATGCAAACACCAACCAATTAGTATTACCTTCTGTTGAAAATGATTTGTTCAAGCAGAATAATTCTGCAGCCTGCTATATGGATGTGTTGAATTCTTCTACTGTGATTCAAAAGGATCCCTTGTCCATGATCTTTGCCTCTCAAAAAGATATGGTCGTGCCTGCATTCTCCACTCAAAAAGATCTGTCTGAAGTGGTATTGCCTCAATCCATGCAATCTCAACCACCAATGCAATGCAATTTCAACCGTCAGTACAACCGTCAGTGCAATCTCAAGCCTTGGCTTCTTCATCATTTCAGAAAGACCCGACCAACACCACAATACTCTCTTCTCAAACTGATGTTTTGACTCCAGTCTTCTCCTCTTCAGTGGGCTCACATTCCACCATTCCAACGATCCATGAATTTGAAGAATTGAAAAAGAAGTATGAAAGAATTGTCGACATTAATCATGATCTCCAATTCAATATGAAAAGGATTCAACGAGAATTGGAACAAGAGCTTCCTTCATATACCAGCACACGGAAATCAAGGAAACCACTCGCCAGTGGAGCAACATTTTCAATACTCACAAATAATGGCCGAACTTGATTGCTTTGTAATAAAATAAATAAACAAAAACATTTTCTCCCTTAAAATTCATCTTGATTTTTCGGAATCAGTATGAAAATGTGGAATTTACTGATTTTGCGACTGGTTTTTTTCTGACTGAATTCGAATGCAAGTTTGCTCACTAATTTCATTAAAAATACGAAATTTCGAGTGCTCGGGCTGGTAAAGAAATTGTACTTTCCAATTAACCTGTTGTGAAAATTTACAAGTTTAACAAAAGAAAGAAAAACAAATTAATTTATTATTGGAACACCAACGCGTGCATGATTGGAAGGCCAAGTAATTGAATTCCATACCACGAAGTAAACAAGAGTTTGTAAATACGATCGTCGTAATATCTCTTCTTTTCAGAGTCACTTGTCAAATTGCCATTCATCATGAAACCAATGGACATGCCAATGAACTGCAGTGGTGTGATTAAACAGTACACTCTAAAAATCCATTCATATTCAAATCTCACAGAATACCATTGACAAAGTTTCAACATGGCAACAAAGTAAAACACTCCTGCTGCAATACTTTTAGCTAAAAAGACTACTCTTGAATAGGAACCTAACAAAATTGGAAGTGTCACTCGACCAGACATGGCATCTCCTTCCAAGTCTCGAAAATCTTGAGCATCGATGGTCATTAGGAAGGTCAACGCAATAATATAGACCATCATCTTTACGGTGTGGTCGTTGTCATGAAATCCATTCAAAATATGCCAATAAGGAATAATCATGCAGACAACACCGATGGTGTTTGACAAATTCTTGAAAAACCAATTCTTGGCAAATCCACAATGATTATGAAGAACATACGCAAGAGTCCACACCAGACCATACCAAAAGAGATGGTGAGATGCACTCATGGCCAAGTAAATGGTGCATGCAAACGCCCATCGAATTTTGGTTTCTTCTAAAGAAGTCTCACCAGAGACGAGAGGTCGATAAGTTTTCTCATTGAGTCGATCTTCCTCGACTCCATCCATTTGATTGGACATGGTAAATGGATAGACAAAGAACACGGCAAAAATTAAAAATCCAATTAGGGATAAAAAGTTCATTGCCAAAAATAGTAAACTATGAGACAAGGACGCAAACCCTTCGAATGAACCTCTCTCTGGACTCAAATACATTGAAATCAAAGCACTCACACGACACGACAATGCAAATGCAACCGAAGGATATATCGTAATATTAAAATCGTTCTTGCAGTGTAAGTAAAACACAAAGAACTCTCTTCTCACCTTTGATAGCAACCACTTGTGAAATGAAAGAAGAATGGACACGAACGGAAGATTCTCTTTCAGAAGTAATAGTTCATTTTCCTCTCTTCTCGTGGATGAAGGGATATATGGAATGGACAACACTTCTGGGTGATGATAATGAAGGGATGCAATCATGGTGTGTGATTAGAGTTCAACAGTTAATGGTGGTGAATATATTTGTTGTTGTTTTTTTCAATGTTTTTGGAAATGCAAGGTGATTCAGGGTTATTACTTAAATGCTTCTCTTGGATTTAAGGAATTCCTAACACAGGAGCTTGTCCTTTGAAACCATTTGGATGTGTTGCTTTTCATCCCGATTGTGATACATTTCGAATTATCCCGAGTGGTTAAACAAAGTGAAAGGTTTCTTGAGCTGGAAAGTCATTTCTTTAATTCTCTTGAATTTGCAACCACTCACCTAAATTCACCTTGCAGGTAATTGTGCTTTTATGGTATTTTGTTGAGAATCGATGAAATGTTTACCATATAACAAGAATGAAATGTGAAAAATTCAACGTGATGTGCCGGAATTGCATTTGAATGTGAATAAATCATACCTGACTTTCCAATTCGAGTTATTCATTCGCTGCGATGGAAAGGATGGAGGAATTCCTTTTACTTACTTTTTTCATGCACGTCATCAGCGATAGCCTTTTTAAGTAAACCCCAAAAAATGAACCGCGATTCCTCCAATCACGCACAAAAAAAACAACACATCAAACCGAGAACACGGCGTTCACCAAACCGTCACCACCACCACCCCTACATATTTTTTCTCCTTCCAACAACACCGAATAGTAACAATGACGAATCATAACTTGACCGGATCATCAATCAGTAGTGATGAAACTATATCCTCCACAAATTCTTCTTCTTCATCCATACAAACACAACTTGAAAATTATAAATACCTTTGGATAAAGTCAGCTGCACAAGAACCTCTTCCGGTTCATCATTTATCGGAAGAAGAACAATTGAGAGAATACAAGCGAGCATATAACAAGTTTTGGTCCAATTATGTGTATGCTGATTTGATTGATTTGTATAAAGAAATTGGTTTTTCTGAATTTTCAGAGGAATCACAATAAATGTAGAGGTTTGAAAGTTCAGAGCTGGTCCAATTAAATTGGAGAGGACTTTTCTTATCGGGACTACAGTTCAAGACAACGGTGACAATTTAATGGGATGATCATTGTTTCGTGTTGTGTATGGGATTCACATATTATTATTAGAAGCATCGTCACGTCTGTCGTTGCAACTGAACTTTTTCGATCGCAGCATTGCCATGTAATTTAAGAAGAAGCAAAGACCTCTCTACAATGACGGGCCATTCCCGCTCGGCTTCAATCGAGGAACTACTGCAGCTTTAATCATAACTGAATAGAAAATTTTGATTCACAGTCTTGTCCTAGATCAGCCTTGAGAATAAAGAATTTCAATGGCTCGCAAGAAATTGAGTCAATTGCCTTGTTGAGCTTGCTAATATTAATGGACAAAATGTTGTCGTGCATAATCTGTTTCAGGTCAATCAAAAGAACAACCAAACTAACTGCTAACATGAAGAAATCAAATCCAACTCTTGCTTTTTCTCTTCCAACTCCATTGAAGGGAAGATACGCTTCTGAACATGATACCACTGTTTCTCCAATTTTCACACACGAACCAAAATCTCCAAGAAACCACTCTCCATTAGTGCTAACAAAAATATTAGCTGGTTTGACATGAATATATTCGAGTGCTTTCAAGATTTTCTTTCCCTCTTCTAATAATGTTTCTGAAGTAAGAAGGTTTGCCAAAAGAGCTAAACTTCTTGGATAATGTGGCATTATTAGGCAATAATATTTTCCATCTGAAAATTGGTTCGTGTAATCCTTTCCTTCTAATGATACTGAGCAAATCTTAGTTTGAACGATACCAGGTACAAGAGAATTCTCCAAATCAAGATCCTTGGTCATTCGTACTTCTGAACTCATCAATATTTTGGCCAATATTGGTGCGCCAGTTTTATCTGCTCCTGTTATAATATTGGCATTAAAAGTTGGATCGTAAAGGTCATTCAATCTTATACCATAGTCATACTCAAGTTTATCTTTGGTTGTTGTTGCAGGAAGATTGTTGAAAAAATCATACAATTCGAAAGCACTCTCAGGAGAAGACACAGCATGAAAGCGATGAATATAGTTATTTAGTAATCTTTTCAAAACAGCTTCAGCAGGTCTTTGTATTCCAGATACAGCGAACAAACGCTTGAAGTGCTCGATATTCATAAAGAGAGGGGGTTGTGTATTTTTGTCGTCCCATTTAGGTTTTTGTTTTAGAAGTATCCTATCATTCACCCATAAAACTATGGCCCTACAAGTGAAGTTTAATACAGTAGACATATTATCCATAAACATGCTTATTATTTGCTCATTAGCATACGATATTCCTCCATCTCTATATAATTAACGACCATGTTCAGAAACGACCCCGAACAAAAACCAGAAAAAGGGTGAAGCATTTCTGTTGTCGAACCAGCTCTCGAAAAGAATCTTAATAACCTGTTGTTCGTTGAAATTGGCAAAATTTTGTAAGTCGATGGAGGAGACTTTGAAACACATGCTTCCCTCATTATCATCATGTTGCAGCATTTTTTTGCCCAAAGACCCAAAACTACTTGCCCTCAATGCACTTGAGGAATTTTTCGAATCCGTGTTGTTTATCATCAACTGTATTTCTTCTAATAACAATTTTGTATCGAGTCTCTGTATTTCAATGTTGGACGTTTGTTTATAAAATGTAGGTTTTGTTTTTTTTTAAACCCCAGATGTTCAAGAGCCGATTTTCTTGCTAAACATCCAAAATCAACCTGTTTTTTAATAATGTCATCAAGTCAGTACATTGATGACGCATTCTAATAGGATTTGCTGAAATTATTGCTTTCATGAAAACGGAATTTAGGAATTCTTTGAAACTGAATTGATACACCAGCTTTTCATGAGTGGCCTTATCAACATCTAGTAATCATTTTCCTTGTAGAGATGCAAAAATTCTTTTGCAATTATTTTCAAAAAGAGTTTCCTTCAAAAAGATGCCCAAAAGGGTACTCATAACAGGCACCATAATTAAAGAGTGTTCATGTTGGATCTAAATTCAACTCAAATGAACAACTATTATTTGAAATAACTGAAATCATTTTGGCAACGCCCTCATCATTGGCTCTTTAGAACTTTCACCAGTAGTTGTTTGAAACTGTCTAAGATAATGGGTTTATATGCAACTTCATCAAACCCTTGATTTAGCAAATGCTCTTTCTGTTCCCATGTATTTGCTGTAACTGCAACAATTTTTGCTGTTTTGATGTGGTTGCCTTGGTTTTTTTCTACTCTTCTTATCATCTCACATGCTTCTTTTCCACTAATGAAAATCGAAAAATTCATTTCGTTTTCAAACGCATGCTGTACATACCTCATTATTGGCATGACACAATCTAATAGAATAAGATCATATGATTTTTGTTTGTATTTCTCAAAGCATTCCATACCGTCCTTTGCGAGATCAATGTCCTTAAAACCAATAATTTTCATCATTCTATCGAGTACTTTTCTGTTAATTTCATTATCATCTGCAAGCAACACAGAATATTCATCAAATGACATGTCAGATTTATGACTTAATTCTTTGTTAGAGTGTTCATCTTGATTCGCCTCATCTTTGTTTTTTCCGGAACTAACACACCCACCATTCGGCAACGTTAGTAATGTCTCTCGAAGTTCATTAAATCTCACTGGCTTTGCAAGATATCGATGTTCCAAATAATGTCGTCTTGCTCCTCTCTCGCAGGTTAGAACGAAATTAAGGGTGGGAAACTTATTTCGTACATGTTCAAACTCTGTCTCCTCAAGAAATAAAAAATCAGGAGATGATGACTTGAGTAATGAGGAAAGGTTTTGGATGCTGTCAAACTCTAATATCTCGCTGAATTGGTTAAACAGTTTAAGATAACATTTCAAAACATCTCTAAAGTATTCATCCTTGTCAATAATCCATACTGTTTTTGCACTTTTCATTTCTGCATCTTGATTGTTGGGAATAGTTAACGTATGCTCATCGACTTCGTTGACTCTTTCTAGTGGTAAAATTATAGTCATGGTGGTTCCTTTGTTGACAACACTTTTAACACTAATATGCCCATTCATTTTGTTAATTAGAAGCTTTGCAATGCTCAAGCCAAGTCCATTTCTATTAGTATATATTAAACTGCTTCCTCCATCGCCCAATTTGTTTATATTCCCTGATTGCATAAAGTATTGCTCAAAACCTAATCGAACATCCTCATGATTTTCAATTATGTGAAAGGGTTGGAATAGGCTATGTAGTTGATCCTGCGAAATACCGCACCCCGTATCTATGCATTCCAATTTCACAAAAATTGTTCCTGAGGAATGGTCAGTTGATTGAGAGATCCTTTCATTATCCCAATCTTTTAAATCTTGATCCGTCGCAGCACAGCAATTCACTCTCACAAATCCCTGTTTTGTGTATTTAATAGCATTCGAAATCAGATTCATCAAAATCTGGCTGATCCTAATCGAGTCCCCTTTTACTATTGACGGTAATTGAGAAACATTGCAAAACGCATGCAATACAATTTTCTTTTCGTGAGCAAGATGTGAAAAAACACTCACCAATGAATCCACCAGAGATACAATTGAAAACGGTTCAGAATTGATGATTATTGAACCAATTTCAAGAGAGCTCATTTGTAAGGATGAAGAAAATATGTGCAAGAGCAACGTTGCATTTTCCTTAATATCTTCCAAAGTTTCAGAAATGGATGCATTTTTAAGGAAGCAATGCTTACAACTTTGTAAACACTGTTCTCCTTCGAATTGGTGATGTAGCACTTGTAAACTTCCCATAATGCATTGAAGAGGATTCCTTGCTTCATGACTCAAATTGGCGATGAATTTAGATTTTTCAGAGCTTTTTACCTTTTCTTTCGTAATTTCTACTTGTTGTCTCGTGAATTCTCGATTCGTTCTGGACAAAGCGTCAGAGAATAAATAGGCGCCTAGAGTGACACCACACTGTAAAATAAACACTTCTGATAGCTTTGAATAAAAGAGACTGATTTCCTCTTGATGCAGATTGTGTTTCCAAATCCGAAAGGAAATAATCATTGCAGTACAAGCTCCAAAAATCAGTGAGAATCCTGCAAACAACATGAGCTTCAAATTAAAGCAAAAATTCTTTGTGGTGATGAGAATTTTAAATGTAGAAAGTACATGATAAGGAAAGAAAGGACCAAAAATTGTGTAGACCAAAAGTTGAACAAGAATCATCCCAACAATTCGTAAAATGTTGGTGGAAACAAATCCTTTCAGAGTATTCGGAACAATGGCATTCAATGATATTTGAAAAGCAATTTCCCCCGCTGAGATACAAAGAAAGAGCCAATACTTTGGATGGGGACAAAAAGTCAATGCGAAAATAATTGGAAGCACGGATAAGGACAATCCGGCCTTGTTATGAATCTTTCTTTGCTCCAACAAGTGATCTAATAATGCTTTCTCAGCATATTCTTGTTGCGGTTGTTCGGAAGCAGGAGAAGGACCAAGAGGAATCTCCTTATTGGAAGATGAAGACGACGACGGTGGTGCACTTGCCGAGGCTGCTTCGGGCATGGGGCGATGATGATGATCTTCTTCAAAAGCGGCGATTTTTTTTGGGCAAAGTCGATCAAAATTTTCTTTTTGTTGGGTGTGTCTGTTGTTCTGGAATTTTCCTAAAAGTGAATCTTCCAAACAAGGATGGAATCAACTTACCTTAATGGATCTTTTGAGAATTTTTCACAGTGAATGTTGATAGATGTTCAAATAAATTAATTTTAATTTTTATTAAATTAAAAAAACTCTCTCCTTGATCCGAATATTTATCCCGAAGAGATCTTTTCGTTCCAACACGATGAAGAGCTGATTTTGGATTATCTTTCATGTAATGAAGCAGCGAAAATGAAAAGAAAATTTTTGATAACAACAACCATGATGATGAAATTTGCAATTACTAGTTTCAAAAAGATGACTGATATTTATTCCGTGTCATATTTCACGCGGTTTTTGCAGGTTAAGTTCCGTACTTATATGTGAAAGCGAAACTTATCCATCATTGAAATAATAATAGACTGAAACAATTCCGTGTCATTTCAAAAAAATCTAATTAGTTTATTGTTAGCACCACTGGTGCTGGTAAATCCGTGAGGATTGGGGTTTGTTTTTGAATTGGTTTTTTAAACCTTGAGTTTTCATAATACTTGGTGTGACATTTACCAACTAGTAGGGTGAGAATTGTTTGGATTTCAGGCCAATTTTGGTAAATATTTGGTAAATTTTTAAAGTTGGGCATTTGAGTATCTCGAATCATTACTCCGTCATGATGAATAATGAAAACTTTCCTTCTTTCACAGTATCTTGATTCTTGATAATCGTTGAGGATACATTGCATTGATGTAATATCTAGGAATTTAGTGTAGAAAAAATCCCTAAAGCATTGAGTATTAGGGCAATAGTATATGAAATGTTTTAGAGTTCCGGGGCATTTACAGTGAGCGCATTGTCTTTCCTTATGTTGTTTGATATGGTTGCTTGTTAAGTTTCTCCAGATTGACCACTTAGTATTTGTGTCAATTTTAGATTTGATGAATTTTAGATTGATAGATGACCAGTTCTTGGTAAGGTGTAGACTGGAATTATCTCTATCAAATTGGCTAAACATTACATCATATCTTTTCTTTTGTATGGATTTTTTGATGTCGAAAATAATGGTATTAGATGTGGCAAGGATGGTTTGGTTCGAAAATAGCTTCTTAATGTCAAAATAGTTGTGCTCTTGAGCTCCTTTCTTAGCTAATTCGTCAGCTTTGATGTTTCCTTTGTTGACATGACCTTTAACTTTGATTAGTTGAATATTTAGATTGGATTGTTGAATGACCTGTTGATATTCATGCTTGAAGCAGTTAAAAATTCCGTTATAGGCTTTGTTTTTCAAAACGTGGATGGATATTTCACTATCTGTGTGAATTTTTGCCTTAGATTTAGGTGGAAGTATCTTTAGTGATGTGAGTATTGCTGATAATTCAGCAACGTTATGTGAGTATTCGCTGTTAATTTTGTATGAGAAATCTTGGGTTTCTTGGGAATTGTTAACTTTGGCGGTAAAGCCGAAACCTGTTGAGTTGTTGAGATTTGATCCGTCAGTGTAAATAGTAAAATTCTTTCCTTTGAGTTTTGGAAAGATTTCGTCATTGTTAAATTGTTGAGGTCTGATCTTGTATTTCTTCATTGATCTGTTCATTTCCTTAAAAATCGAATTTTCGTGTTTGATTCCTTCTGAATATACTTCTCTAAGAAGTTCATTATCATTGTTAATAAGATACAGGGCTGTTTTGATTCGAATTTCATCTGCAAAGATATCGAATCTTGGAATACCAAGTCCGCCATAGGTGATTGGGAGGTGAAAATAGTTTGTTGGACTAGCATTATGCATGAAAATTTTCTTTCTTATTGCTTTTCTTACTTCAATGTTAATTCTATCAACAAGTGATTCAGGAATGTAATTTGTTCGTAAAATGTGTGTAAATAAGCTAGTGCATTTGGCAAAAATTACTTTCTTAATGTTTGTTATCTCCATTCTTTTCAGTGGAATATATTTGAGTGAGAGTTGAAATTGGAGGATTCTTTTTCAATATCTTCATTTAAAGTAGAGTCATCCCAAGGATAGTGTCCAAGTACTCGAAGGTTTTTGAATCTTGGTATAATAGTACCGTCTATCATTGGCTTCATTTTGCTTTTAGTTGGGAGAGTGGTTGCCATGGATTTTGAAGGATTAATTTTTAGACTTAATTGGCCGAGCCATTTAGAGATATTATCAAGTCTTTCGTTATAATTGCAGTATCTGTTTGAAACTAAATTAATGTCATCAGCAAAGCAGAGCAAACCAATATCGTTAATATTAAGCTTGGTTGGTTTGATTGAAATTTTCCATTGTTGTATGCATTTGTCAATGATGAGTTGAGTAATACAATCATATATAAGAGGAGCTAAAGGGCATCCTTGTGGTATTCCTCTTGTTTTTGTGAATGGTCTAGAGAGATGGTGATCAATTTCTAGCTGTAATATTTGACTCTTGTATGAGTTTAGTATAAAAGTTTTCAACTCATCTGGAAACTTACAATGAGTGAGAGCTTTTTCAATGATATGATCTTCAACGGAATCATAGGCGCCTTCGATGTCTAAGTTTACCAAAAGGAATGACGACTTGTTCTTTTTGGCTAGAGATGAAAGTAATAATCCGTGATTCATTGTGTTTCTGTGTGAAATAAATGCTTGTTGCCTTAAGTTGATGTGTTTGGAAGCCCATTGTCTTAATTCGTATGCAATTATGTTGAAAAGTATTCTGTAATATATTGGGAGAATGGTTATGGGTCTAATATCATTTAGTTTTTGAATGTCTCTTTTAGGGAGTAATTTAACCCAACCAGATTTCCATTCTTCAGGGATATTACCTTGTTGAATGCAGTTTTCAAATTGGTCAGCAATAAGTTGTAGATGTTCGTCTTTGAGATTACGTATAATTTGGAAGGATATTGAGTCTAGACCGGGTGTGTTGGACTTCATTCTCGATATCGCCTCTTTAATTGTTTTAAGGCTTATTTGTGGTATTTTCGGTCCTTTCTTGACGGTTGATGGTGGATTTTCAAAGTCTGATGATTTGGATACTGAGGTAAATTTTGTTTCAAAATGATGCACAATTTCTTCTTCAGAGAATTGGATATTTTTCCAATCTATTGATTTTTCTTTTAGATGTTTGTCAAACTGGTAAATCATTGAGCTGTCATGTTTGTTGAAATTTTCACTTAGTTTTGCTTTGATATCAGCTCCAGTTTCCTTGTATAGTACTTTGATATTATTTCTTAGTTTTTCAATTTCCTCGATATTTTGACCTTTTCCTTGTGTTACAAGATGGAGGAGTTCTATTTCTTTGGTTTTGATTTCTTTCTTATTGATTGTGTTAATGTATTTGAGATTGGTCTTATCGTCTTTGAAAGAAAATTTGTTAACCATTTCTGATATGTCTTTCTGAAGTGCATCAAATGAATCATAGTGTGATTCGTTCAATGTTGTTGAGATTTGATTCATATCTTTCCTAGAGATGAAGTTTCTCCAACAATAGTCTGTTTCGAACTCAATGTCAATATAGAACGGTAGATGATCATTTTTGGATATTGGTGGCAAAATAACTTCTCTGATTATTCTGATGTTGTTAGAAACGAAGATATGATCAGGTCGTGATTTTTGAACTGAGTTGATGACTTTTCTGACGTATGTGTAATTCTCTGGGATGATTAGTTCTTTGAGTTGGAAACACTCAATAAGTTCTTTCCATTCTTTTTTCTCTCGAATTTTGTGGTTTCCTTGTGTTGATATTGAAATCTCCTAGCACAATGTTGAATTCATTTTCACATTTTAGTAGAAGGTGAATAATAATGTTGATTATTTCATCATCATCTTCACCATCAGATGAAGCATAAACCGTAATGATGTTAATAGGTTTGTTTCTAGAGAAAAACCTTGTCCATTGAAGTTTTCCTTGTATTAGATTTTCGTTGGATATGAATCGTTTTCTTTTGTTGTTAAGAATATGGAAGAGAGCTGTTCCCTTTTGAGCTTTTCTTGCTCCAAATAGTGAATTAAAGAAGATACTTCCATTCCCTTTGTTATAGGCTTCTTTTTGATCTTCATATGTTTTTAAGTGTGTTTCAGTAATTGACATGATTTGGATGTTATGATTGTAGCACATCCCTTTGATTTCATTTGTCAATATTTCTTTTGTGGCTGTCTTTATGAGCCCGTTGCAGTTAAAACAGCCAATTTTCAAATTACATTTTGGTGACTTAATTGTTCTTATTTCCAAGAGGTTTATCACCTCTTCTAGGTTCTACTATATCTTCTTCTTCGTCATATTCCATTTCATCATCACTATTTTCATTTGGTTTTGGGTGATAAGATTCATCATCTTCATCTTCTACATCATCCTTGGATTCATGAATTAATTGATGGTACGGTTTTGTCAAATGTAATTCAATATTTTCCATTTTGGAAGCTATTTCGTTGAGTTTTTCAAAAATGGTCTGTATGGATTTTGTGTGGTCTGTTAGTGTATTGGTGATGTTTTGTATTTGTTTAGAATGTGATTCCAGTTTGATTGAGTTTTCAGTACATTCTACTTGAAGTGATTTGTGATTCTTTTCTAATGCTGAGAGGTCATTATTGAATTGGAAATTATTGGTTGCACCAGTCACTTCGTTTTCTTGTTGTTTTTGAATTTTTCTACCAAATATTTGGTTGTAGATATGAGTTTTTTGAGGTTGGTTTTGTGCCATTTGGTGGAGTGATACTTGTTGGGAATTTTGTAATTTTTTCCAATTCTGCAACATTAGTTGCTTTGTAATTGGCTATATAATAATGCTCTCCAGGGCGATATGGGCTAGGTTTGTTAATAATCTCTAAGTGGTTTGATTGGAAGACACAGTTGCTTTTTTCCACCATCTTTTGTATCGCAGTTTTGATATCTTTCTCTGTGTAGAGGGATGAAAAATTGCAAGAGCAGTTAAGCTTAGATTCTGTTATGATCTGGTCAATGGATCGGTATTCAGAATATTTCCTTGCCATAAAATATTCTTTATCTTCAAGAGATTCAACTGCTATTCTGATTTTATAAAGCTTTTGGACTCTGTCATAACTGGTATTAGTTTCTTTAACTCCATTAGTTCTTTTCCAAAAATTTTTGATAATGTGTGTAGTATACTTCATCATCTCGTCATATGATGAAGTATGATATTTGAGGGTGTGTTCAGCTGGTGAGAAATTCATAGGAGTCACAACGTATTTGAATGGACTGGAGTCTCTTGTTGATTGTGAGTTTAAAATTCCCAAGGTTGATACATAATCTTCATGATTGTTACAGACAAGTTGGAGTACGTGCGTCTTGTTGTTAGGTATGTACCATGATGTAAGTTTTTCTTTGACTGCATCTGTAATAAATTCAGTGATGTCTGAGTCGATATGCTTACTGAGGTAAATAGATACACAGTGAGAATAGTTAATTGTTTTAGCTCTTTTAGCAGGAGGGTACATGGTTGTTGTTGTATTGTAGGATTTGATTTGCGGAGTTTTTTTTGTTGGATCAAATGTAATGTTCTTGGCTGTCTTGGCTATTTGCAAGTATGACGATTGCGATTCATTCAGGTTGAAGCTGGTGTTGATAGGTGGGCTCTTAGATTGAAGCTGGGGTTGACTTTGGGGCTTTGAAGTTGTTTCAATTGGTTTGATGAGGTTTGTGCTTGTTTCAATTGGTTTGGTGAGGTTTGTGTTGGTGATGAAGTTTGTTGTCTTATTTTGATTGTTGATTTTCGATTTGTTTGTTGGATGTGTAATATTTTTGATTTTAGATATTTGGTTTGATGGTCCATCAGTTCGATAAGGATGTGCAGGGGATGGAGTTTGTTCTATGAGTGTTGTTTTTGGAGGAAGAGGTTGTTTAGGTTTAATTGGTTGGTTGCTGTCGGAGACTAATTTAACTGACTTTACCTTTTGTTTCCGATTATTGATGTGGTTAGATAATCCGTCCAATGTTTTTGAGAAATTCTCAATATGTTTAAAGATGATTCCGAAAGCTTCTGAGTGGGTCATCAATGTTTGGTTGATACTATTCATTACAACGTCTTCATTTGTGTTCATTTTTTTGCGTCGCGTCATTTCAAAAAATGACACATTATGATTGAAGAACAAGAAGAAGAATTGCGTAGACAGATTGCAAAATTTGAAAACTATTTGAAAACCCGACACAACACTGTACAGCCTGTGTTTTCAAATCTGAAGGTCCTACAACCTTGAAAAGACCTTCCTGAAGGCACGGTTCGAGTTCTTTTATGTGAAAAAGTTGAAAAAGATAATACAGTTCAAAAAAAGTATTAAGAGTATTGTCGTCGAATGGATATATTTTTGGAGAATTTCCTACAAGCCACCTGAAAGTGTTTTAACTGAGTTGATGTGTGGAGTTTTGGTGTGGTACTTTATCAAATTATTACTGGTGACATTTATACACCGTTCAAGCAACTCGAACAAGATGAAATCAAGAACAAAATTTTTAACAATGAAACATTACGCAAAAACGTAATGGATGATTTTATTTACAGCTGTCTTCAAAAGGAACATCAAAAACGCATGGTCGGCTATACAGTAATGGAGGAACTGTTACTTCATTTCTATGAGTACATTCGTGCAGGGGTACATCTATCGAAGAATTGAAACTATTTCCAATGCTCAATTTTATTACTATGGTGGCAGGTGGAGATGACAAGAATGCCCGTGAATATCTTTCGAAAAATCAAGATTCCCTTTCTGAAAATGAGAAATATATTATCGAAACCATTTCTTATCTTGTGAATCATTCAAAGACTCCCAATGTCAAAGAGGAAATATTAAGAAATTCCAGCTTTTATCAACGATTCCATGGATTTGTTACGCTATTTAATAGACAGTTCGAGGAGGCAAAAAAGTTACTAACAAGGGCTATTGAAATCAATCCCTGCGATTGTCGTGCCTTGTACAACTTGGGGTTGACATATTTATTCCTGAACGACAAAGACCGTGGTAAAATATACCTGCAAGAGTCCCTTAACACAAGTCCAAACTATACGAGTCCAATGACATATATGGGGATGCTGTACGAACAAGAAGGAAATTATGTATGTGCAGAAGAATATTTCAATAGAGCTCATCAATTGTGGTATCTTTATGATCGACGAGATGAATCTATTCCGCGTGCTCTGATGGCTAGAGGACTGTTGTATTTGAACAATCGGTTATTTGATAAGGCTATTCAAGATTTTACTTTGTGTCTCGAAATAGATCCTTCTTTCACACATTTTTACTGCTATAGAGGACGTGTTTATTTGGAAAGAGGTTGGAAAAACAATGATAGCAGCGATTTCGACAATGCCAACAAAGATCTTCAACAGGCTCTCGCAATGTCTCCAATGGATCCGCTTGCTTATTTATACAAAGCCCAACTACACCTTAAAAGAAATGAAATTGTCAGTGCTGAAACTTGCATTGAATTGTCACAAAAATATCTCAACTATTTGAAGACAATAGTAGTACCAGAAAACGCGATTTTCAGACATGGATTTA